CTTTACTTCTATACAGCAATGCACATTCATACAGCTGACACTTCACAGTCCCCTACTGGGTCACTTTACTGGAATAACTAGCGGATAAGTGCTTTGCGTAAGGGAACTCACTGACCTTCTTTGTCCAAATTTTGCAAAGTTTTCTGAGATCCCACTTCTTACATATGCAGAATAGAAGAATGAAAGGAAAAACCTGAAGAAACCAGAGGAGAAACATAAGGATGAGTTTCATGACAGTGAAAAAGATGCTAGGGCCTTCACTAGTCACCAGATTAGATTATTAGTCAATTAACTGATTAGCTGAAAGAAAGAAAATACAAACAGTTATAATAATCAGTTAATTATTTAAGTCTTTTAAGTCTTTTTATAGCAATAAGAAAAAATTTCTTATTATTCAAATGTGGATATTTGCTGGTTTTCTTCTTCTTCTTCTTCCATATTTAATTAAATATACCTTACCTGCAGACAAACAACCATTTTCCACATTTCATTTTTCACTATTTTCTAACAAATTATAGACGCTTGATTTATTAACAATATAATTGGCAGATTAATCGACAATGAAAATGATCGTTAGTTGCAGCACCACCCAACTGAACACCAGTGAGAGATTTTGGAGAGATGTGTTAGACAGCACTCTCCACTACCATCATCATCAAAACACCACATAAGGAAATTTCCCTCAGTGGAGATTCAGAGACTTGTTCTGGTGGCTTATGGTGGCCCAACACCTTACCTTTGTCACCCATTATGTATTATGCTGTTCTAGCCTAAAGATTATGATCCAGTGGCATTGGCAAATTTTCTCCACATGCTATTTGCTGTATATTGCTGAAAAGGTTTCCAGCCTTAACATTTAAACATCAAGTAGCAAATCACTTCAAATCAAATCCCCACACTGCACCACTACAACTCCTTTAAGAGAGGAATAAAAAAAAAACAGCAGCACAATCCTATAACAAATAATTAGGATTGCCTAAATGAAAAAATAAAAATCCAAACACTCAAATCCCCAAGAGCCAAATCAAGCTGAGGCCAGGGCGGCGGGAGCTAAAGAACAGAAAGAGAGAGTGTGTGGGTTGGTCTTTGAAAACAATCCATCTGCAATTGCAGCAGGTTGGCCAGCAGTTGACAGCAAACCTACCCAGTAGCTGCTCCTTATCTTAACATTTCAGTATGCTAATCTATGTCCAGTTAAGCAGCTGAATCTGCTGCTGCACCGACCACAGAGATCAATAATGTCACACTGTCTTGTCACACTGTATCGAGAAGCTGTCAAGAGGTATGTTCTAACACTTTAGTGTAGGTTGCAATTACTGTGATTACAAAGTAATTTTTGTGGTTTCAGTGTCGTTTATTATTAAGTATGAAGTCTCAAAAATGGGACACCCAGTTTACAATGTGTTATCATTTCAGCTAAACCCACAAGACTTTGTCACATCAGCTAATGTCTGCTGATTTGTTTCTCAGTCTACTTGAGTGTGCCTTCCTTTGGAGCAGTGTTAGTTATCTTTATTTTTATTAAACTAGCTATATTTAAATAAAGCATGCTCTAAGTGTTGCATATCAAGTATTGTGCCATCTCCATGTGTGCCTTCGTCTTACAGGTGGCAAAAGAACACCCTGGAGAACGGAGCTATGGTGCAGGGCAGAGTTATTTTATACCGCCATAAATACATTAAAGTTCACATTACTCATTTTGTTCTTCATTTGTTTAAAACTAACCTAGGTGATAATACATGTGTATATGAGACAACCCCATTTTTACATGTAAATCTTGCCTTGTGCAACTCGCACTGAAAGTCGCATTGTACATCAACAATGCAGTCTGTCCTTTTAGACTGACTGTGATGAAGCTCCTCATTTGCACTATGAAGGTCACTGAAAGACAATAAGATTCACATGCAATCTATCCACTGCAAGTTGTCGTCAAATATTAAGGTACAAGCCACATTTACCGTACCCATTATAGTCAATGAATTGCACCTTACGAAGATGTTAAAAACTGTCGTGCGTAGCATCTTATCCTTTTTTTAATTGTTTTACAAGAGCAGGGCATGTATCAGTTTATACATAAACAGTTTTTAAGACTGTCAAAGGTTATGTGAACTATACTGTAGGTAATGTATTCCTCCACAAATGTAAGGAAATTAATATCTATTAAATAATGTATGATCTTCAAGTGGTGATAAACAAAGATCACGTTATCCTTTAACTGACATATTCCCCAGAGACACTAGCTCATTAGTGCAGGGATCAAACTGAAGCATTTGCAGAAGACATATGAAAATGCAACACAAAATATTAAGATTTGAGTGCTAAGCCTCTGTTTTGAAAGCTTATAGCTCAGAAGTCACAGCTCCGTCTGCTGTCTGTAATGACTGACACTGTAGTGGTGTTAAACTTTGATTACTGAGATTTACATGTTATAGAAGAGAACACAGTGTGAACAGTCACCACAAGTGACCTTTTTGCATAAAACATCATCATTACCTGCATAGTGACCTGCACTCATGTCTTTTATCATGCTAAGTGATGTGTTATGGGTGTTATTATGGCTAAGCACCAATACCAATGGAAAAAAAAAAACATAAGTGGAAGCTGCCAGAATGTCATGTTAAAAGATGATTCACTGTTGAGCAGATTTTATTGAGCATCATTGGAGAGGAACCACGGCTTACAATCAATGAGCGGGAGTTTGATTAGACCAAATGTCAAAATGAAGCGTCACAGTGAAGCTAAGATGTGTGTGTATGCCTGGCTGCTTAAATATGACAATGAAATCTTTGAGTGTAAAATAATAGATAAATGGAGAGGGAAGGAGTTAATAGCGTAAATCTACCATGCCTCTGCCTTAAAAATGTCTCCCAAGAATACAATCATAAAAAATATTCACAAATGTATTCATGAGCAAAGCATTATCATTACAACAGTATTGTCATTACTGCAAATCTGTTGTAGTATGTAAACCCACACATATTACAAATAAGTACTGAATGCTCACAGCCTCCACCACATTTCTTTTTCAGGATTTGTGTAGCATATAAATTCCCATGTGACTATTCCAGGCCAGAAGCCATACCAGTAAATTAGTGATACACTCAACTGGCCGTCTAACAAGCAACACCATAACATGAGTCATATACAGTGAAATATTCATGAAATATTCATGGGTTCATTCCATCCCTGTATCTTACTTGTACCTTTATTTTTTAACACTTTATTGTGTAGTATAGTATTTGTAACATTTCAGTTATTAGTTAAGATTAAGCAGTTGTTTGCTGATGTTACACCACTGTGGTTAAGGTTTGATTAGGTTTAGACACAAAGACATCTTGGTTAGGGTTCATGAATTGTCACACATACTCTACTCTCACAGACAAAGCAAAACAGTGGAAATGTTGAAAATACTATATAAACTATCAGTAGGCAGACTATCCAAATAAAATGTTACCCTTTATTTGTATAGATTTGGATTATTGTGAAATATATATTTAATATCCTCGAGATGCAAAATGACAAATTATGTATATTTTTTTTCCCCCAATCTCTTTTTTGTCTTTTGGGGTCACTTGTTGCACATGCATGCAAGTAACTAAGTATATTTCACAATGCTCCATAATGCACAAATTATTATTTGCCTAATTTGAGTATTCTCTCAAGCAACTTTGTTTTTCCTTGTACCTACAGAGTTTTGAATCACTTTTGTTTCTCCCAAACTCTCTATTCCCTCAGTATGATGATCAGAGGACAATAACCCAAAGGCTGAAAATCAAAGGTTTTCCTACCAGCCATGATAAAATAGAAGTGGAACAGGTGTCCACTTCCGAGCTAGGACACAACTCCCACATCTGACACAGCTGCACTCGCACAATGTCACACGTGTTCTTCCATAAAGATACAAGTCAGGAGAAAGCAGACTAACTGGCTAAGAAATGAAAGTCTGGTTTTTACCCTGAACTTTCTCTCAACAAATTGTGTTGTGGCTCATATTGATGATTTCTACTGTCTAGTTCACGAGTTGTAATGTTATATCTATCTAGAACTCTGTATGGTTAAGGCGGTGGTTCCCAACCATTTTGGCTTGTGACCCCTTGAAATGAATCAAAGTCTACCTGTGACCCTTAGAGGTTAACACCTCAGTGTGGAGTTGAGAACAGGTCAACCACAGAGTGAGGTTATCTTCATTTGTTCACAGAGTTTAAATGGAATATTTCATACATTTAAATAAAAAGTCAGATAGCTGACCCCCATGTTGGGAACAAATGGGTTAAGGACCAAACTGGTTACTGGTAACATGTTGCCTGAGATAATACACATCTTTTAAAATCTGTTAAACTCAAGGACTGAATGGAGAGAAAAATAGATCTACCCTGGAATCATAAATATGTACATAACATAAATACCTGCAGCTTGGGGACGAGTTGAATGACCCCCTCCTCGGCAGCATTCGTCCAGAAAAGCTGAGTCCAGGCAGTCAGCTGCATATTTTTTCTTTTATCCATTTTTAATTGTTTTTTTCTTTTTCTGCCTGGCATGAGTAAGCTGTTGCCATGGTAGTTCAGATGAAGCAGGAATGATAATTGTTCCACCATAGCAGCGTGTGAATTATTAAAACCTAGAGGGCATGAATGAGTTGAATGAGAAACTGAAAAGAAATGAGACAGAATGAGGACTTCGTTTTGTGTGTGTTTCATTGGCGGGTTTTTACTGGGTCTTTTTATGGCTCTCCGAGTCCCTCGATTGCGTAGATGAAACAGATGCTGCAACAATTTGTGAGGGAAGCTCTGAGACTCCAGCCTGTCCTTAGAGTTTTTAAAGGAATATTCAACAACATTCATGAATAGTGCAACAGATCAAACAAATAGAGAGCAGAGGAGAAAATGGTGGCTGCATGCTATTAGCTTTACCAACAAATTGTCTCTGTTTGCTAACAAAGAAGCATCAATTTAATGAACTAATTATGTTTATTATCACAAAGGGAGCATCTTTTTAAAAAGTCATGTTCATCCCCTCACAAAGTCAAAAGGATGCGCTCTTAAACAATTTATTTAGGCAAAAATGTTGCAAAAACATTAATTAAAGCAAAGCTGTGCATGCAAACCAAAACAAAGACTGTCATATCACATGAAATAACCATATCCATGATAGAATACATCCAACTCAACTCACACGTCCCCAAAATATTCTACTAATAAGGTGACACAAACATTTACTGCTGATGTGGAAATCATGATAAAGTCCAGTAATGTACAGACACATATATAGAAAATATACTGTATATACAATATACTGTATAAATAGTACTGAGTGGTCACAGTTGACATTCAATATCAAACTATTTACTTTTGGTCCAAATATTCCAGATATAACAGAAATGTTCCACTGCACCTTGACAAAGACATCGACAAAAATTTCATACAGCCGCTCTGACACACACACAATAAATTAGACAAAACGTATCTTTCTCCTTCACAAAAACAAACTGACATATAAATCATCACGATATAAAAATATACATAGTGCTCATCAGTGTCAGCTTCTTACCTGTATACACAGAATAAACAAATTATATCTCATCGAGGCCACAAGCTCTAAAATTTAGGAATAAAGCCTGTTATTTCACAGCTCACTGGTATAAAAACAGTGGACTGCCTCTTGAGAAGCCTTGTGAAATTTAGAGCTTGTAGGCAAAAGGTAAATAAAAGTATTGACACATTTTATAGTTTAAATATTATGCTGGAGATGTAAAATTCCGGCTGTCTCCAGACAAAAACACAAGTATCACCACAAAAAAGTAAACATCACCAAAGTGACTGGGTACGTGGTTGACTGTGGCCAAGAAGACATGAATCCAGCATTCATTTTCATTTAGTACCTCCCATACGTAAGGCACCGGTCGGTGTACATGTTGCACTTACATCTCTCAACCAGCAGGGTTCTCTAGCACTGAGACTCAGCATAGCCTTCATCCATAGGGGGTCTCTTTTCTATGTTGTAATACTCATCTTCATCCTCTGAGTCCTGGACAAAAGGAAAACGAGACAGTCAGATGAAGCTACATACAGACGCATAGACAGAGATACACGCACAAACACAAACACACAGACCCAGGCATAAACAACTACACTGGAAAAATCAATATTTCATAAACCCTCAAGTCCTGTTGTCAGACATAGAGGGCATGTAAAATTAAACGTGAAACGGATCTGCCAGACATGTCTCCTTTAGTTATTAATGGGTTGGTGTGATATAATGAAACGTTCTGTACTATACCATGAGATATAGGTCACAGCATGAGGCACTCCTTACTTTGTCCCCCGGTGGGTGGATGCCATACTCCTCTCTGGTGAATGCAGAATGGACAGTTAAGATGGTTAGTGATGACGACAATTACACTCACAATTACCATGAAGAAGCCTGCCTGTAACATTCTGAAATCGTCTCTCCATGCTCTAAAGACAGGCTCAACATTTTTGCTGATATGCACCAAAAAATATGAATAATGAATTTAGTCAAATTATTTAAACTGATTCTCACCAAGAAAAAGTTCTACACATTAAAAGAACAGGTCAACATTCTGGGAAATACACTCATTCACTTTCTTGCTGAGAGTTAGATGAGAAGATTGATACTACTCATGTTTGTCTGTATGAAGCTGCAGCCAGCTGCCAATTAGCCTAGCTTAGCATAAAGACAGGTAAAAGGGGGAAACAGCCGGCCGTGTATGATAATAAACTCCATCTTCCAGTCACTCTAAAGCTCACAAATTAATATGCTGAATCTAAAAATGTAATGTAAACTATTTGTGGTTTGGAGTCTTTACGCTAAGCTAAGCTAAGCGGCTGCTTCATATTTCCCAAAATGCAACAATAGGCTTTTTGTGTTGATGTGTTTCCCTGCTGTAAGAAGATATCTCATTGTGGTTTTGGGAACTAAAGAGAACAATGGAAAGAAAAGAAAAAAGATACGCAAGTAATGCTGCAGATTAGTGTAGTGTAATTCCTGCACTAAGAAAAAATGAAAAATAAATGATGTCGCTACAGAATGGCCAAAACAAATAATAATAAATAGAGTGTTAAATTGAACTCGAGCTGCTGCTCCGTGTTCACACACTGTCAATGTAATTTATGCAATCTGTTAAACATGTATTACAAGTAGCCTTGGCTTGTTTAACATTTATATTCCTGTGTTCCATCAGCTAAACAAGCAAATACCAGCTCCTGTGTGACTTCAAACCACAGGCAGTAACACTGCAACACCATAAAGCCGGCTGGAGATTTGACTGAAATCAAACCTTTAACTCAAACTTTAATTCTTGTTTAATTTTCATCAAATTAGCAATCCAGAAGCACATTTATTACCATCAAAGCCTGCAACGACTATCACTGCCCCCAGGAGACCCACAGCAGTGATTGGTTGAATAAATCTACTCACCCCTCTGTGACCTCTATGGGCGATCTGTAGGCTTTCGATTGGCTGCGCTGTTTCTTGGGACAGAGCATCCGTCCAATCAGAATGAGGGTGATGATAGCGGATGGGAGGAGGATGAAAGCGAGGAGGACCGCAACATCAGAGAAGCGAATTCTTGGCGCTGGGGAGGAGGATGTGAGGTCATTAGAGACACATTAACATGCTGTTTATGACCATACATACACAGGGCACCACGCCATACTCAAATACACAGACATACACTCTACATATACACATATATATAGCACATACCGGTACTGCAGTTCTACATGTGGCACTCTTCGCTTAGCTATAAATAATTACTTCTTACCAATTTTAATGGTGCTGAATATTTATATATATATATATAATAAAGTATAAAGTATATAGATATGGAAAACACTTGAACGAGACAAAAATAGTATTGTCAAAATAAAGGAATAGTTCAACATTTTCAGAAATATGCTTATTCGCTTTCTTGCACTAGAGTAGAGGAAGTAGATGAAACATTGATAGCACTCGTCGTTAACTTGGCAAATATGTAGCTGGAGCCAGCAGTTAGCTTAGCTTAGCATTAACACTGTGAACAGGGAAACAGCCAGCCTGGCTCTGTCTAAAGGTGTCTAACAGCACCTCTGAAACTCAATAATTAACACACTATCTCGTTTGTTAATCTGCAAAAAAATCCTACAAAAACCAATCATTTGTAATGATACATGGGGTTATATGCTGCACTCTTTGTGGGCTGGGACCAAATAATAACACAGTTCTCTCAGGACACTGAGACATCTTATGTTAGTTTAATGATTCTTTGTATCATAACTGTGAATTTCTATCCAAAAACTTTCAGATCAGACTGTTAAAATAGGTAACTTATCATCCACCCTACCAGCCTCTGACCATCTACACTCTGCTGACTGCAAAGGCAGGCTAACATGTGTGAGCCAATAGAGCCTTATACAGAGCATTATGTGACAGGCTCAAGCATAAATAGACATTTGGTTTATACTATCTACAAAATATATCTAGCAGTGGAAATTTAAACTTCTTCTCGGCCCTGTGTATACACAGTGTATAATTCATTGTGAGAAAAACCAAATCCAGACATCTGAGGTGAAATCAGGACAAGCATATATAAGGATTTAAAATCATACGTGTTTAAGAGGATAAATATGATTTTACATTTAAAAAATGCATCTGAATGGGGTCATAACAGTCCAGATCTGACTACTGTTATGTTACATGCATTCAAGTGTACACAACTGAAGCGGTTGGAGGAGTCACAATGTACAAGGCTGAACATGCAGATAAAGAGCTCTGACACTGTGTGAAGGAATGAGCCCCATCTTACCCTTTGGTGTGACAGTGAGCACAGTGTGTGAAGTCGGGAACCCATGGACATCCGGAGGGTTTCTGACTGAGCACGTAAAGGTCCCATTATCGTTCAACGTGGCGTTGATCAGAGAGATGGAGGCATCCCCACGCGCAGGGCTTCCCTGCCACCGGATACGACCAGCAAACTGACCGTCGTTTGGAGGGAATGACCGCGAGGAGAAGTGGAAAAACTGGAGAGAGAGGAGACAGGGTAAAAGGAAAAAAAAGATTTATTTGTATGAAAGAGATGGGTGTGGTCAAATAGAGAGCAAAGAAAGCAAGGGTGTGAGATTAAATTAAGTCTGTTGATGCTTGACTAATACAACTGGATAGGTAAGATTCGGGAGGAGCAACAACTAAATAAACTGTAACTCAGTGGCCGCTTCTCTTATTCACAGAGCATATAATAAGAAACATCACTCTTAGATCTAACTTTTTTTGCCTAAGGGAAAAGCGTCTGGAGCAACAGGTGGTGTGACAGATGGTGGTGGGACTTTTTTTGGCTATATTGTCGACAGTGGAGTGACGAGGGCTCCCTGATCAGTCTTGGAAATATGAATAAAAATCTCAAGGCAAAGAAATTCATGTGTGCGCGTCCCACAGAGAGAGAGAATTTGAACTACAGGTACCTCGAAAACTGAATTTTTACTTTTTAGTTCAACATTTACCACATAAGTTTGTTTTCAGTGACAAACTCGTCATTACTCCCACGTCAAGCTGACCCAGACCACTGCAAAGCACGACATCCGGAGCACGAGTGGGTGGGTGGAGAAGGGGGAATGAAAATGTGAAAAATACTACAGAATATGTTTTTCACAGAGTAAACTCAGAATGTGGAGTTTCATGACACTCTGGTTAGTCACCAGTAACTTGGGCAGAAAAAATCTTAAGTTGAAAAAACATATAAACACAAACAGTAAAGACGAGCGAAAGAAAGGCATTGAAAGTGGAACTGATGCAGGGTTCAAGCAGAGCTGAACACTTTATTTAATCTATTTATACACTGGTATGTACTGGTATAATGAAAGCATCTGGACTACAGATCTTGCAGTCTGCCCAACATCCAGACTGCAACACACACCAACAGTACAGTAAGATTCTTTCTAGTACAGTGAGATATAATCATTTGAACTGATTTTTCAGTGTTTCAAACGACACCAACTTGAATTGAACTGGACGACCAGAAAATAAAGCCTCACATAAGAGAACGGAACACAAGTAAAGAGCCACGTAATAGGAGAGGATGATCGCTACTCTTCCGGACTACATCTTGTACTGAGCTGGATGAGTCGGATAAGGAACATAAAGACATCAAGAGGCTTTTAGATTATTTGAACGATAAGATCAGAGCTGCATGGCCTTCATCTGTACTCTCAAAGCACAGCAGATGGGGAGTCATCGATTTCTTCTAAAAAGAAATGGCATTCAGTCAATTCATGTAGCTCCTTTCATATAAGACCTAAAAGGGCCCGATTTTATCCATCTTGGATGCACAGACTGTGGCTGTCTCCAAAAGCACCTGGCATTTTGGTCATGTATGTGCAGCAGCCCAGAGTGCCAAAGAGCTGGGTGAAGGTGAATATAGATCAGAGGGTGTGGTGAAAATTCAGCCTGTCAGTGTTGTCTGGAGGGTACAAGATGTCACAATGTGAACACAGCATCACAAATCCACATCCAGAAGCTCTGGTAATCCAGTGTCTGTCATCTAAACGGGTAGACTACAGAGTTACAACAGACCAGTCTGATCTGTGTAGAGGTGTGTGCTGTTATGCTGTAGCAGCCTTGTGTCATCTGCACGTGATTTAATGGAGGTACACTCAGTAGCCGTCTGGGTGTAAAATACCACACTGATGAAGCAAATTTCAAGGTCAGAAAAATAACGGTCGGGAGCGCTGCCTGCACTGGTTGTTGCACCGCCACCAAAATAGTGTTCTGAAAAGGACATCAACTTATAGTCACCCGACCACCTTCATGTTAATATGCAGAGGGTCCTTGATGTCCAAATTCCCAACCATGGGCAGCACACGGAAAGCCAATGCCATTCTTCTTTGCCCTATATTCAAGCAAACAAATGAAGCTAATAAATGGTTTGAATTTTGGTATTGATAAGGATCCAAAATAAAGTATTCTAAAGTAAAAGCTTCATTTCACCAATTTAGTAGAAAAAGCTCGCTCTAAACTGAACAGAAAAATTGACATTTGTGATATAACAGTACATAAGTACGTATACATATACACCATTATAATAATGTATAATATAATAAGTTACATACAACTGAAGATCATGTAAATGCTAAATATCTATGTAATATACTGTGTATGAAAAATATCTGTATATGTAAAAATGAAGAAAAATAAGCAGACTTCTTATTTAGAATGTGTAAAATGTGTGTTTGCATAAGCTGCTCTCCACATGGCAAAACAGTTTATGTACAAGATCTAGGTGTAAAAATGTGCTTCGAAAAAACTGAAACATGTATCATAACAGTTCTATTAACAGTGCAGCATCAAGATCATGCAAAAAATGTATGCCTCGTGTGAAGAGTATATTTATTGCTTTAAGGTTTACACACAAGGCAACAATGTCAACATGGATAACTTGCCCTTCAATTAACTGAAGCAAACACAGAATCATCTGAACAATCACTGACACTGATATGCTTTTATGGTTTTACAACAGTGTGTCTGCATTTTTCTGAGCAACTGATTGTATGCCTGGCAGAGAACAGTCACCGCCCTGCGCGGTCATTCATCCAATGGATGATCACTGGAGGACTTGGCAGAGCTCTGCCTAAAGGAGAGCAGCTTGAAGTCACCACATAAGAGTCTGTCTGGAAACAAACAGTAGACCTACTGATCCTTTTAAAAAGAAAAGCTGCAGCAGTGTTGGCTTGTTTTCCCATGGGGCCACCGATTCCATAAATCTATTTGATAATTCAGACAAAAGCTTCCACCGACTTGACAAACATAAAAACAGTGCCTAACTGAAGTTCTAGATCATCTTAATAGATTTATTTTTAACATTATTCAGCAGAATTCAATTGCCAAATCCTCCAATTACCATCAGCTCCCACTGATATTTGATTGAACATTCTGCCTCTCTTCTCCAATCTGCAAAATTAATTCTCATCAGGACTGAGGTAATTATGCAGGCCACTGAAGCACTGCAGCAATTCAGATTGACACTAAAGCTTTGGCTGCAAAATGATATTTTCTGATGGAGCTTTTCACATGCTTATTCATGGTCTTTCCCAGTGTGATATACGGCCGGGGACACACGGGCCAATAATGCAGCCAGAAGTGCTAATGAAATTGGATGGAAAGTAAATGAAGGCTTAGAAATAGAAATGAGAAACTTCCAGACTTGGTCCCATCTATGGGCTGTATCAAGAAACTGCCACACATTATTTATCTGGGATAAAGAGAACAAACTAGTTGGGCTGGGTCGAAACAAATACAAACACCGGCGTAGGTAGTGACTGACACACCTTTTGACTAAGACCTGTGTGGCTTTGTGAGGTAATACCACGCTATCTGCTGACTGACACCCTCGCAGTATGTTCCAAGTTCTTTTTCACCCCCTCCCCCCCGACACTCTTTGAGACCAGACAACTGCACCTTAATGACTAAACCAACAGCACTCCATACTATCGGAGCCACAAAACATTAGCCTCCACTTAACTCTGAGTGCTCCTATAGGAAATGCAGGCATATAGGGTTGCAACTACCACACTAAGGATTCCCATGGTCCAAATGCAATTACATAGAACCACACTTGATGGGTATCTTCAAGTCCAAATGGAACTGCTTAAATCATGTGGTGGATTTTTAGTGGATCAGTCACTGAAACTGAACCCAGAGTGTGCAGGGTTAGAGGACTGAGTGCAGTTACGGGTTGAGATGGATACATCTGAAGGCATTTTGAACAAGACCGCGAAAGCACCAAATAGGAAGGGGTATTATGGTAGCTGACCAGCGGTGGTTTCCTGTGGAGGCTTACACAAGACGCAAAGGCTGGGGTTGAATCTCATTGGGTAAAAACATAGGTGCTGATCAATCCAACGTATTGGTGCATACGGTATCTGCAATAGACTGAGAGTGACCTGAGTTTTCCTCTTAGCGCAGTCGGGTTCAGAAATCAAGGGCAGTCAAGGTAGTCAAAATGCAAATAAAGAAACCAGAGATTCAAACAAGGCATGTTTGTACAGCGTGAGCAATGGAAGTCACATACCTGCATGATGAAAACATTCTGTGGGAGTTCTTAAAAATGACAATTTAAAACTCTTAAAGGTTGCAACAAACCACTGTTTTCAGCAGATTATTTTCTCGATTCATAGAAATTAGAAAAAAGAATCTCATTTAGTCCAAAAAATGTTAGAAAATATTTGTTTACAGTCACAAGTTTTAACTATTAATACTGGGTTTTTACAATGTCAGTGGTTAATGAGACTGTATTACTCCATATAAGTTACATAAATTCAATCCAAACATCCAGACCAGATCAAATATAAAGAGGATAAAGGGAAAGTTGATCAAAATGTCCTGTTATCAAAGGATTTTTGGAAGAAAGTGAGGTTTTGCTTTGTTGTATAGTTAACTACAATCTGCCTTTGTGCCCAAAGTTATGTTTAGTCTGTATTTAACTGCAGTATGTAACTTAAAGTGCAAGAACAAAAAGTGACATATTACATACAAGTCTGGACAAACTGTACACCATCATTAGTATTAGATAGAATATTTTGTTATATGTAATTTTACCTTTGTACTGTATGTATATGTATATATGTATGTATGTATAAGTATATTATGTGGGTTTTTTGCTGTGATTTTTTTTTATATCTGACAGATACAAAACAGAATACAAAGGAAAAAAATTGTGCAACATGTCCATCAGTTTCCCAGAACACAAGTAGACGTGTGCTAACACATTTCAATTGGCAACTTGCACAGCATCAGCACTGAGCTGGTGCACTGCACAGCATCAGCTTCCTTGTTCTCTTGTACATTGACCTGTAAAGTATAGGTGAATATATCAAACAAATCAATCAGTTTTATAGAGAATGTTCCGCCAAAAGAAAGAGAGTGAACTCACCAATACAAGTTACATTTTGAATTGACAGCAACTGCTTGTTTAATCAAAACCTACACGTTCATTCCAACAACTGCTGTAACAGTGTCTATGATGCAGCCCTGTTCACGCAGTAATTCTCATATATGTACTCACTGTTTGGGGCGGCCCTCCACTCTGGAGCCTATAGGACCAGTCCACAGTCATCTTGCTGGTCGGCCTACTGGTGGAGGTGAAAGTGCAGGACATTGTGACGGTGTCCCCTTTAGACGCATGGAGCTCTGCTGGCGTACTCACTGTGATGGAGGAGACTAGGGAAGGCTCTGGAGGTGAAGAAGAACACAAGAATGAGAAAACGGAGTGGAAAAGGGAAACAGACAAAGAGAAAGGAAGACACGTTGCGAGTGACATTGCACTTACTTTGTCTTCACTTACCGTAAGCAAAACAGTCAAAGAAAAACCTGGCAGCGTCTACAAATGTGCCAGAGCAGTGTCGCAAACACAAAACTTGGGAGCTTCCTTGACCGGACCCACGCATAAGCAATGAATACTGACCTCTGCTTTTTGAGACAGAACCTTTACACGATCTTTTAAGAGATGATATCACCCTGAATCCCTTGTTATGGCAGAATTTAGTGCAAATATTAGATCAAAATCCGTTATTGAGGCCGTAATCACTTAGTTCAGTTGAACATATGGACATATGAGTGTGCAGCCTCGCTACCTTCTCTGTGAGGGTGTACTTACAGGCACAGCTGTGCTTTGAGCTAAATGCTAACGTCAGCATATTAACATGCTTACAGTGTCCATGCTAAAATGCTGATGGCCGATAATGTTTATCAGGCGCACCATCTTACTTGGTGTGTGAGAATGCTAACATTTGCTAATTAGTAGCTGAGGCTGATGGGAATGTCACTCGTTTTTGCAAGTATTTGTCACAAACCAAAGTATTGGAGCGATTTCTAATTGTGACCTGATAGTAGCACTGGATAAAAACTCCTCTCCAAAGCCACTGAAATGTATCATCTCAGGACCTTTAATATCTATGGGACATTTCAGAGAATTGTCGAGATATTTCACTCAAAACCAAATATGTCGACCCCATGTTGGCGTCAGGGGAAAAGCCTCCAGATCACCCGGGGAACAGCGGATATCTGTAGAAAATATGGTGCCCATCCATCTAATAGACACCAATGTGTTTCACTGTGAAAGCTGTGACCTTTTGGTGACTCGGAGAAAAAGCATAGGATCTTCCAAGTCAATAGAATGTATCCTCTCTGGACCTTTAATACGTGGAGCAAATGTTCATCACACCGGTAAGCTACAAACAAATCCTAATCACTGTCCCTCTGGCCTTTAACGTGAACGCATCATGGTCAACGGACTTCATTTGCATGTCAACACCTCATTAGTGACAAAAGTAGTTTTTCGGGCCATAAATGAAACGGTCCTCCATTTCAAAGCAAAGGCCTCCATCCGCCTTCAGCGCCACTATCGGCTGGCATATCCCATAGACCGACACCGCTGGTTCCATCTGAGAGCCCGAAAGCCGCGATAAGGACAAAGTTTATCTTACACCAAAGAGCGTAAGAGATATCATGTGATCCGCCCGATTCATCTGCAGAGACCCTGGGGTGAGCAAGTCGACAACAGGAACAAAGCTATCTCTTTATAAAAGGGAAAATCAGGCAGCAGAGCCTTGAAAGCTGAACTGCTCTTGAACTTGAAGACATGATATTAATTGGTGGTTGGATAGCAAAGTTGGCAGCTCATCAGTGGCCATGCTGACACCCCAGTCCTACAAGACGCCTGGATGGAAAATGGAGAGTCAGAGGGAAGACGATATGATACTGTGATGGTTTCCTTGCTGTCCTGGTGTGACCCTGGCAGGAGAAACTAGCTACATGTGTATATCCTGGCAGCCAGTGTGTTCTGGGAACAACACAGTGATACTAATCATTCCCAACAACACCACGATGCCTGCGTTCTGACTAAACCAGCAGCACACAGTAGCCATTACTGAAACTTCCATTTGTATTCCCTCAATAACAGGTCAGAGGCTTTTTCCAGAGGGTGGAAAACAACTAGCCACAGTTCATAGCCATGTTTGTAATGTACTTGGCACAAAGACAGTGCTCTTAACTCACTGCATACCAGTTGTCAGAACCCTTCTGAGCCTGGCTTTTTACACAACATTACCATGTTCTCCTGTATCCACAGTGGCAGCCAGCTGCTTTATATACACTATTTTTAACTATTCACATAAAGTTCTGTCATTAATTGACGAGATACATACAACTTTAAATGTGTCTGAGTTTAGTACAACTTTAATTTTACACCTTTATGTTTTATTCTGCCATGGTAATCATATACGCTACATATTAGCGCTCTCTTTCTCAAGCAGGGGTAATGTTACTTAATGTTAACGAGCGACAGATTAAACGGGGGCAGCTTTATCATGGCGGTAGACAGGGTTTCCATGTTGTACAACTTTTTCCAGTAGGCCTGTCATTCCTTAAGAGTTGTGTGTGGAAATGAACCGTGAGTTAACTGTACAGAATATCCAAACTGTGCCAAAGGTTCGACATTATTATCGAAAAAAGCTGTGGCCAGCCGTTACCAGCAGTACCAGCCTACCAGAGCTAACACTGAGCTTTATGAAGGCAGAGTTTCGGTTCTGCTGTAACTTGAGTGGAAACAGGGAGACATGGAAGCGCAGTTTACTTACCGTAAAAGCCGACCAGATACAGCAGCAAAACCACATTCAGGTGGGTATTCCCTCGGCGCGGTCGACGCATTTTACAAGGTGAGGGATTTACTCGAATGACGATTTAAAAAAAAAAAAAAGAAATTCAAAGTTGCGTCAAAGCTCCGGTAAAATTCCGTCCATAGTCTATTTGGTCATGACTCAGTGTCTCCGTAGCGTCAGCAGCAGACTGCGGCCGACTGCCTACCTGACAAACAGGTGTATCAGGAAGTGGCGCTGTGGGAGAACACAGGAGAACACAGGAGAACACAGCAGCTCTTTCAGGTTGAAATTAAGTGAACCCGATGACAGATGACAAACGATTATTTTACGACTACGTTAGTAGTGACAGGGTGCTTATAATTAAAACAATGGGAGGTTATCGCACTGTATATTACTACCAAATACTTCCCACTGTAACTTAAGTTACTGTAAAGAGACCACAGAAAGTCTCATATTTAAAAGGGACTGGAGTGTAACAATGGGTTTTCATTTTTCAAACATCACAGCCAGTTGTCATTGGAGTATGTCATAAGTCCTAGTGGAGCCACTCAGGGAAACTGTAGTAATAATAGTCATGTTTTTTTAGGTCATTAGGCCACAGCTAAATTCATTTTAATGACATTGTCAGGAGCTTTACACGTGGTGGTGAAATAATAGTACTAATAACTCTTCTCAGAATGAAGTGGCAAAGCGTTTTCATATGTGTAAATTAAGTTATGATTGAAGATCGTGATACTTAAACTTCTAGATAATGATGTTGATCATGAGCGTGAGACTGTGGAGCCCCAATGAAACTATATTAAAGTATAATACATTCTCTTTGCACATCTCCCTCCGCTCACATGACCCCTCTGTGTGGAGGCCTGAGGCCCAGTCCTCCCATTATCTCCCCAGCCAGACTCTGTATAAAACCATAGACGCTCTAGTGGGACTCCCCTGCTATTTCTAGGCATATTACTCTACTATCCCTGTCCCCGATCTCCTGTCTTTACTGTTGTAATTAACTCTAATGGGAGAAGGTATTTGTTTTTCTAGCCTTTGCGAGTTCACCCTGGTGTAATGCATTATCTCTCCACGACATGTTTATACAGAGTCCTTTTGAAGTTTATTTTTGCCTTTATTTGGTCTGGAGGATTGTCAGTTCCATCCTTACATCCATCTGGTCTGCCAGGAGCGTTTCCTCCGTTCTGACAACAGAGATGCTGTAGTCGTGTTGCATAACCTCATTTCATTTCATGACACATCAGAGGATATCGAATGAGAGCAGCAGCATCCTTTTATTACTCTGGGCCTTGCTCCCTCAAATACAGTGTATGTATCAGTGTGTGTCTAATCTGATTCAGAATTACAAACTACAACACTGGATATTTTATTTGGAGTGGAATGCTTAACAGCATGGTGCCACAGGAGGAAAAAAAAACAAATTTCTAAGTAAATAATCCCTTGTGCAAAAACTAATTTGATGTAGAGTTAATGAGTTTGAGGGAAATGCTTGTTCCTTCTTAAACATTGCACACTAACTTGATTAAAATGAAAAAGCAGCTGTGCCTAGAGGCTAATAGGGGAGCGTGAAAAGTAGGATTATCATACAATAAATAGAAATTGCTCTATGGGAATCACTGTATAACTAACTTCTAATTTACTACAGACAATGTGAAAGTGATTCCCATGAGAAAGGGTCAGGACAGCGAGATTCAGATGAAAGGAATGTTTTAGCACTGTTTTACCACATGATGCACACATCAGGCTTGGCTCATTGTCTTATCTGGCCGTACCTTGTCTTTATGTTGCAAAAATCCACATCAATTGCAAAATCTCTGTAGACGCCCGCTCTGATGTGAGATAAAGATGTAGAGCCAGGCACCCGCTTGCTCCTCCCTGCATCCATTCACAAGCACAGTGTTTGTATTGTATCTGTTAACAATGTTATGTAACAGTTCCCACACTGGGGCAGGGATACCGCTTCTTGGATAATAGATGCTGAGTTACAGGACTTGCCTTACCTGGGAGCATTCACCACTTTTGCGTTCCACAGAATCGTATTGTATTAACTATACTATATAATCTGCCTGAGTTTGACAGACTCCCCATCCTCTGTTGGAAGATAGAGTCTTATGCCTCTTACCTGGGTATACTCTCACACACACACACACCATTGCATTGTGTCATGCATTGTGTGTGAATACAGGGGCTCTCTGTCTGGTTACAGTAGTGTGGTCTCAGTTTCGGCTGAAATCTTCTCAGTCACAATGAAGGCTCTCCCCACTTACTGGCTTTCTGGCGACTCTGGTCAACAAGAGACCTGTTCTTCTGTTGTCAACACTGTAGGGGACTAATAAAGGTGGTTTAAATTGTTGGGGCCAGACGGTGTATGTAACCATTATCCTTTAGCCTAAAACATGAGAGTCCTTCTGCCTTTTCATCAGTTTAATGTGCACTCCATGCACTGAATAGTTGATGAAAAGTTGTATCTGCTGCACTCCAATAGATTTGATGTACTTTAATGGTTTCACATGCAGAGGAACCTTTCTTCGGGCCTTTCACAAACAAGTATGACAGCAATACTCATTAGCCTCAGTGGCTATAGGAGGCCCTCCTCTATACAGTACACTGAGGCAAATAAAGCTGACTCTCCACCTTCAGACTGAATGGATTAACTGCAGTGTTTGAGTGCATATCTGGGTGTGTGTATGTGTGTTGGCACATGTTGAGAACTACAGCCATCAACATAAGTCACAGTGTGACATTCAGTCATATACTTACATACCAGTGAGCTGATTTGTTTTCTCTTTCTGTCATGCCAAGCCCATGTTTGTGTGTGTGTGTGTGTGTGTGTGTGTGTGTGTGTGTGTAGGAATTCAGTACTGCGCCAGGTACAGGCCATCCTGAGGTGTGGAATGCAGACTGAAAAGAGAGATGAACATAACCAAGTAGGAGAGAGAGTGAGAAGGACAGATTAGATTTTGTCTTTGGTAAATGTTTCCCCGCTCTTCCTTTTTTTTTTAAATCTTGCCTATTCTTTATAGAAATGATTTACGTGTGTTGCAACAATTAACCTATTGTGGTAGACGATTTTTTATGAAATGAGTCATGAGCAAAGAATTGTTGAGAACACCTCTCCCAGGAGCTTGGTGCACATTACCTGCTTATATCCTGTAGGCACAACAATAAGACAGATGACGAGACAAAAACCCTACTGGACTCAAGCAGAAAATTCTTCAATCAATGATTTCAACTTTCAATATGTTCCTTTTTTTATTTGCTAAAGTGCCAAAGCCATCATCAGGACAATGTGTAGGTAAATGTCAGTGTTGAATGATTAATTTATGTCCTTTCTTTCCCTTAATATGCTCTCCTACATTCTGCTTTTTGGCAGCCACCAGAGGACGGGCATAAACTTGCTGCACACAGATGTGGTTCTGTTTGTGTGTCTGGGTGGAGAGAGTGATGGCAACAGTCATACTCTTCACTCAGAATGCAAAGTGTTCTGTGTGCACTGCATTTTGGTCTGTTCAGGATGCTGTCGCTGCAGAAAATAGCATACCTGCTTTTTCTACAACAGAATGGAAAGTTTAAGATGGCCTGACATGCACTGTTCTATTGTCTGAATAACAGTGACAAGCTTTAGTAATCGCTTATATAAATGAGCCCTGAACACCACCCACAGTTGATTACTGAAGTGGCAGAATTATTTGATGACCAGTGAGTAATTAACACAAGCATCGGTGATACAAATGGGATTATCTGGAAACTCCACTGTTGTTTTATCAGTTCAACACTAGTGGCCTTTCTCTATAACAAAATGTAATTATTTAGCTTGGATAAACACACCCGCCCACCCTGTCCCTGTTTTTAGTGTTTGTAAACCTTGCTCTGCCCCCGACTACACACACTCACACACAGAGACACTTAAGGTTTGTCAGTCAGTAACTAAAGCTGCACCCACTGGGACAGACTTTGATCAATGCACACAAATTGGCACACACACACACACACACACACACACACACACACAAAGGTAGAGTAACATATTCATAGTCATGAACAATCTTATCCAACAAACAAGCAAACCCAGACTGAAGTCACAGAGGCAGGCGTAAGCATATTGGACCTACAACAAATTAAACAAGGATTCACTGCAGCAATGCTTACAGGTAAACAAGTGACAGGGTCTATGCAGACAGACTCACCATGAACACACAACTGAAGGCAGTGCATTAAAGATAATGATGCATAATAAATGATGGATAACAAGATCCTTCTGTTACATAATAGATGAGTTATATCAAATATTGCCAAGTTGTGTGTGATTATTTTGTTTCAGTGTCAGATCACCTTTGTGTGGTGAAACGTACGTGACACGATGTGGTAACAGTTTAAAGGCGTTTTTATTAGAAAATCTTTCTTATAAAAGCTCTATAACAAACATATACTGTGACATTTTAAACAACAGCAAAATACTTCTGGCATTATCTAAAAATAGAAAAAAATAAAAATCTATAATCAATATTGCTCAGTGTTACATCACAAGTACAAAATTCGGTCATAAAAAGTAAGAAAGACAGGTCTTACAATCATTTGTTAGTAGCTGTGATGCATTCACAGATGCACACAAAGAAACCAGGCACTCAAGGACTTTTTCGCAATCAAAGGGTTTTCAGATCTGACTGTGCACTCCCACACAACACGCAGGACAGGCGCGGGCATGCAGCTGCTCGCTATGTGATCAAGTATTTGGCCTTCAGACATAATGACAGCAACATCACATTTATGCATTTTAATCCCAGTAATCTGATGTGACACAAGCCCCTCAGCCTACAGTTGAATGATAGAATTGCTTTTAACAAGGGCTCTCACACTGCAGGTAATATGATGGTGTGCTTGACTGACTGAAATGCGAGACCTACGTTACCCCCTATGACTCTACAACTAAAATATGAAAGATTACCCTACAAATTCTACATGATTTTGTCCATTAAGTCGACCATGGAATGGTTCGCAAAAGTCAGGCACCCTCAAAACCTTTAAGGTCTTAAAATGGCTCATCGTGGCAAAAAAAAAACATTCCTCATTCTGATTGCTTTCAGTTGCATGTTGCAGTTGATTTTAGTATCGACTTGCCACACTCAACAAGATCCACGTTTAAAACAGCAGATGTTATTGAACACGAACATTGACCCGTTTTCCCTTCTTGACATTAGGATTCATTTTCTTCTCGACTTCAGGATTACAAAGCCTCTCACTTCGGAATCCCTGCAGGTTAAATGCACTATTTCTTACCTCCTGAGATTTTCCGGGGCCTCTCAAAAGTAGCGTTACTGCACTTTTGATCCTGTTTCAAAGTCTTGACCTTCATCAAAAGCATTGCTCTAATTTTTGCGAACAAAACTTTTCATTTTCTTCTTTAGCTCTCTTCATTTAAATTTCACTCAGCAGAATCATGGACCGTAATCCATGGGTGCCATCTGGGTATCCCTCCAGCGAACTTCCTGGCCAGCTTCACATCAGGGTCTGTCCCCACCTCCTCAGTCAGAGTCATCACCCTCATCCTCATCTGAGCTCGGGCCCTCCTCCTCTGAGGAGCTCGGGTCTTTGGTGCTGGCCTCTGAGATCATGCCGTCTGAACTGTCAATCTCTATGGACGTCTCTGATAGGTAGAGGTGGACGGCCCTTGATGGGTGGCTGGGATACACACACGCACACACAGCGGGGACGTAAGAGCAACATAGCACGCACACTTACACACCGGGATATGAATTCATGCATGACACATAAATTATTTATGTACATGTATGTGCATGAGTCACACACAATGGGGACAGGACAAAGACGAGCAGACAACATGGACACAGCAGCAGAGACAAAGGGTTAGCGTCACACAGGGTTAAACTGTCCCAAGTTGAGAGCGAAGGTTGGATCAAAATCTCTGTTTCAGTTTTTTAATGAAAGATTTGGTTTGAAGTCTAAGCTTTTCCTTGAGGATACTTGGCTTTTAAAGTCTGGTGCACACAGTGATCACAACACAGTTTTTTGACAGTTAACCAGTTGCGGTGCCTATTGCAGAGAGATCTGAAAACCCAAGAGAGAAACGAAGAAGTCCCATGTGCCCAGAAAAAAGATGTTTATGGCAAAACAGCTCATTGTTCAAAACAGACAGACTTACTGGTAGAAAAGGATTTGTCACTTTGTCAGTAAAATTTTAAATTGATTCCATTTAACAGCAAATTGCATGTGCTAGTCAAAATTTACAGAAGTACTGTATGAAATGTCTGTTTCCAACAAGCGCTCTCCATCAGGTTTTGATTATTTGATAGCACCTTGATTATTTTTGCAGGAGTCTCAACATCAGGATAACACCACAGAATTGCAGGAGAAATACAGCAATATAACTTCAGTAGTGAAACAAAATAGAAATGTACACCAGCATCCTTAAAATGGATCAGACAGTTGATGTATACGACCATTGAAATGAGGGTTGATAAAAGCTTTGCATGGGGTTTGATCATGTTTTCCATCATCTGGTTATTATAGCAAAATTTCAATAGATGCTAGGTAAGTGCTCATTCATTGTTCCACAGTTTGTTGAAATAATACATCAAACATGTGTTTTGTACTGCATTGCTATGATGAAATGTATTAGTAGGGAAGTAAACAGCAGGAATACACCATTGTTCTGCCTCTACATCATCAAAACATTTACTCTAAACAGGAAATGTGTTTAGAAGCCCATTTAGCTGAACAGGAAAAGATAAACTGATAAAACAGTGTTTTCTCTCCAGAAATGAAAGACACATAGTGATATAAAATGTACACAGCAGTCTGGCAAGTTCTGTATCTACAGCTCTCTACACAAAGGCACATCCTTAATTTATCTTAATGACAGCTGCCCATCAACTGGTCCACATTTGGTATCCAAAGACTGCGGTTGAAGAGGAAGGTGGAAGTGAAGTGTCCAGTAGGAAAAAAGCCCCAGGCCCCAAGAAGGAGCGGCACATGCCCCGATCCCCAGGGTTAGACTGAGAGCGAGAGAGGAAGTCTGTTCCTCTCTCTATCCCCATCTTCCTCTCCCTCTGTCCATCTTGGTCTTACCACGCAGTGGGGTCTTTTCTCTCTTTGCGAGGAGCCTCCACGTTTCCTCCTTGCTCTCTCTGTCTCCCCTTCTTGCACCGCCTGCAGGACACTATGATGATGAGGAGGAAGACCACAGCAGTGATCCCGCCCCCGATGGCCAACGCCAGGAGGAGAAGCTCGGAGAAAGAGGCTGTACGTGGGGAGGAAAGAGAGGAACGCAGGCTGAGTCTGCTTGTTTGATATAGAAAAGATGCCCTCACTGCTCAGAGCCATTTTATTGTGCATATGTGAGTATATCTGCTATCAGCTGTTATTAATACAAAAGCATATTAAAAACTTTTAGACACTGACAAAAACAACTACAAGAAACAACAAAGCCCTGACCTTTCTTCTATTGCCACCATGAGGTTAACATTTGTTGATTTAAGGGAAATGTTTTACTTTTGGGAGGATTGCCTTGAAATGTTGTACATGATATTCATATGAATGATTTTCCCATCAGCCTCACCTGCACTTTGTGTTTAGTGCTGATTAGAAAATGTTAGCAGTTAAACACGCTAATCAAAAATGGTGAGTATGATGAACATGGTAAACATTTACCTGCTAAATATCAGTATCATTAGCATTTAGCTCCTGCTAGAACTAGATAACCACTTTTACTTGTTGCTGTTGTTGCTTGTTGAAATATTTATAGCCTATATAAAAAAATAAATGGGTAGCACCGATCAATAGTTCTGATTGGCTGGATCATACAGAAAGTCAGAGTAATGTCTATATTAACACATCCTATAATCTGTAATTTAATCATTGATATGATATCTGAATGTCACAGGCTGTATCTTTTTTAACAACTGTTCCAAGATAATTACACACATTTTTTAATTTAAAAAATTACCAATATAATAACCAATAGAATAAAATATGTCTGGAACATTTGCAATCTCTTTAATTAAAATGTTTCAGTGCTATAATATAAAACTCACACCACATCATACCAAACAACATCCATTCTCAAATTATGAGTTCATTTGAATCCAATGACCCTGTGGACAAAAGCAGTAGTGTTCCACCGCCTCATTTCATTGATTTCCAGGGGAAATTAACCCGGAGGCAGGCATTGTTTCATAACCAGTTAAATACTCCTTGTATTAAGTTTGATTAACTTTAGCTGTCCTCTCTTATTTAGCCTTTCAGCACAAGATGAAAAAATATGGCCGTTATCACAGACACAGACAAAACAACGCTATATTTCTGGCATATATATAAATTAAAATGCAGACCTGTGGTTACCACACGAAGTCGAATCTCTCCAACCATGCCATGAACATCCGGTGGATTCTTGACCTGGCAGAGATACGTGCCGTTGTAGGTAAACTTGACCTGTTGAAGTATGATGGAGGCGTCACGGCCCATGACATCACCAGCCCAACTGACACGCTTCCTGAAAATGCCCTCTACAGGAGGATATGGCTTCTGCTGGTAGTGGAACACCTAAAAGTGGATGGGTAGATTTGATTGCAAGAATAATGGGTTTGATTGGTTGGATTGTCACAGATAGAATGTCATACCAAACTGAGTCTGGGGAAGAAAGCTATTTTATTCTCACAGAGAAAGAAAGACAAGACATAAACCCAGACCTGCTGCTACATTTCTTACTCCATTCTCAATATGCACACACACACACACACAGGCTGTCTTGGACGCTCTGTAGGGAGCCTGATGACTCACCGACTCCTCTCTCAGTTGGCTGAGGGGGTGGATGCTCCCTGACACAATATGGGAGGTTTGAGGTTTGATCTCATTTTCTTGCAAACACACACACACACACAGACAGACACACATGCACTCACCGACTCTTCAGGGCCTGGTTTGAGGGGTCTGAAGGTCCAGGAGATGGTGACGGTGTCAGGGTTGATGGGAGTGGAACTTTGAAATGTGCACTTAAGACGAACATCGGTCCCGTTTACTGCCTCCATATCCCCAGATGTATATATACGGATCCCGCTGACCTGCAGCACGCCTGCAACATACAAACATATGGCACAGTAGCAGAGTTTACTTCAAAAGCAGCGTGCAGGGCGCATAGAGCAAAATCTAAACATAGATAAATGGTTCATGAAAGCAACACAAATACATAGACGCGGTATGAATTTCAATTCCTGCTTAGAGAGTGCATGCAGTGTACCCAGTGACCCTCTGCCTACACAGTGCTGCTGCAAGAAAAATCACTAACTCTACGTTGTCATTATGGCTGTAGGAGATACATTTATTACAGTGTATATATACTGAAATCCCACAGATTGGTCTAAATGCTGACAGTACGAGATTAGATCTGCAATCAGTGAGTGAACTCTGTTTCATTACATCCTGAAAGTTTAAACTGATTTCAGATCAGTGGGCCAAATCTGTGACATTTAATGAATAATAGCCACACTACTGCAGCTGAGACCGGGCTGAAATTGACAGTCTGCTGTATATTATATGGATATGGACTATATCAATCTTTACAGTACGGGGTAGACTATTAGATGGAAAATGAATGGACTGGAAGAGCAGAGAGGGATATTGCCAACGATCTGGCTCTTCCATATAATGATTGATGGAGCACCTCAAGATGGAGTTAATGCTGACACACTGCACACACACATGCATGCACTGTCCTAGAGACATGCTTAATGCTGGGTTTCTGTCTGGCAGCCGGTCAACATTACATCAGGAACCAGCCGATCACGTCTCCCTCTCTCCCCGAGATTGAGTCTTGTTATTGAGGCAGATCCACTCTTATTCTAAAGTGTGTATGGGTCTAAGTCTCTATGGAAGTTTATGTGCAGGCTGTCTAGTCCAAATCACCTGCTCTATTTATAGAGAGGGAGAGCTCTATATATCCTAATAATATCAGGAGCCATGTCTAGCCTTATTAAAGTCAATTCCCAAGCCCACAGCAGACTGTAGAGCTAGCAGCCACAGTGAGCTCAGGGTAGCCAAGACTTGTCTTAACATAATTAGCCCACTCCATATGATTACCCTGCAGAACACTTGATGAGACCTCTGACTAACAGAGACACTTAATTTTGACAGACAAGCTGTATGTGGCTCAATGGGTCACCTGAGTACATGTGTCATCCCAGTTTTATATATGAGGCAATTTCTTTTTTGTTAATGCAATCAGCTAGCCTCAGGGATATTCTTCTGATGTAAAATGGATAAGATGTAACTAACTCTAGCTGTCGAGTATTAGAAAAGGTTGTGCAATACTTTCACAGTATGGGTTTAAAGAATTTTAAATCCTAGGAAGGTGGATTAAGCTCTATTCTTGAAAATGTGTTAAATGACTTGAGGCACCATGCTTAGAAATAAGAAAAGTCCAGCAAGGAAAATTGAGCCATACTGTTACCCATGCATTATAAATACAGTGAACATTTAGGCAGGAGCTTGCTGGGAAAATGTCAACAGGGGTTTGGCTCCTCCGGCAGCATGTTCTGTTCCTTATCAGGCTGGAGAGAGTTTCCTGTGGGCTGGGATGAGAGAGTGGGGTGACCAGACAGCCCCCACACAGCATTAAACAGACAGGCTTCTCTCTCATCGCCGGGCACTGACAGCGCTCTAACAGCCTAATGTGTTTTAAATGAGCCCGATGAAACCTGGGAGGAGTGTGTACGATGGAGCAATACAAGCAGAGTACACACTGCAAGAAATGTCTGTCTTTGCAAATTGTCAGGGTTTTGTTTTTTCGGCTTAAAATTGTATTTTTCTTGAATGAAAAAAATTGTCTTCGCAGTGAGATTGCAGTATATGCTTGTTTGGGTTTTTTTCTGCATTAATACCTTAAAAATATGGCAGGTGCTTCAACTTGCATCAATAAATCACTGTTTAAGTCAAGAAAGATGTTACAACAGTTTGGCTTGCAATGCAACAAATCTACCCCACTGGCAGATAGTTTTGCTTGTACAGAGAAAAATAAGACTTTTTATATTACAGAATAATGCTGTGATGGATGAAACAAGCCTCGTCTGACAATTTTCTCTCACTTCCTCATCTACCTGTCGGTGGAAACACTAAAGTTTGTGGATTAAACTGCCTGTGTTTAGGATATTCATTAGGAAGATAACATCAGCACCGGCTGTATCAGTACAGGCCAGTAATGACTCCCTTCTTGGATCGACTACAAGAGTGTGTGTGAGTGTGTGTG